AGCCCCATTCAGTTTATCAAAAGCTAGGCAGCTGATTTTGAGAGATGTTGCAATTGTAATAATTAGTGAATGATCCTTACTGCTGCAGCTCATTCTTAAAATGGATCATAATTTACTTTTCTCTGTAGGATTCTTCATCCCGGAATTTAAAAGAAAGGTACTGTTGCTTTTGTTTGACTTTGTTGTGTTTTTAATCTCCGGATTGTCCTTTTCTCCAACAATCAATACACCTGGCTGATGTTTGTGAAAAGATTGCATTAAGAAGAATAAGCCACAGCAAGATTACATTGTGTCTATTCAGATACAGATTTTGATGTGTTTTCAGAGTGACATACTGCTTTGCTTAGGTGGTTAGGTGTAGCTAGTATGGCTAAGACTTCCAGAAAATATAAAACGGATGCTGTTAGAAGACAGTCGAAAGGATGTATAACAGAAAAGGTTAATGAAGATATTCAACTTATTTTTCATTCCATGTAATTTTTAGCTAGCCGATGGGACTTTCATGCGTGTTTTTGTTTACCTATTTCAACAGGAATTTTCATAATGTAACAAAGCTCCCCCAAATCTTGTGTACACTACGTGTGTAGTGAAGCAACTCATCTTTGTCGTTATAGAGCTCGCAATCCAATGCCTATGGCAGTACTCTATGGAGAGTAAAGAATAGGGTAAAATCTGTATACATGAAATAGGTTAACACAACCCCTATAATGGTTATTTAGCAACCCCAGAAGCAAAGCTATGGTAGAAGCAAATGAACTTCTGAGATTCTCTTATTCATAAGAAGAAGAAGAATTGTGAATCACATTAGCCATGGGATTTTAGGACTTGTAGTCCAAACAAAGTAATTTGTCTAAGCAAAACTCAGAAATTACAGATGGGGCATGCACTCAACAATGTTCTCAACCTTTCCCAAATTACATTTTATTTAGTTATAGTGTTTGTGATTTAATGGAGTTTGGTCATATCTCTGATTTGAAATAATCTGTGGGGGATATAGATGTCTAACTGTATTTCAAAAAATAGTCAAATATCTTCTTTGTATTACAGAAATAAGCACCCTAAAAAACTTGTCCCTATGGATTTGTTATATTATATTGGCTGGATGCAGTGGGAAAAATTCATCAATGGAAGTAATTTGGTCAACAGATTTGAAATGAGGTGACCTCCCATCTCCAGGCCCTTATGCATTCCAAAACCCCACTCTTGAGAGCTGGAAACCTCTCCAGAGTTGAGAGAAGAAAGTCCCATTGTCCTGATGCTGTGGGGCCAGTGGAATATTAGATTTAGACCATCCAGTCTAATCTTTACATGTGGTTATCTCCTCAGTCCCATTGTATCCTCACAAGAAGCTTGTAAGGTCAGTAGGCAGAACAAGAAAGAAGAAGAGGTAGACTTTTAAATGATAACACAGGCAGATGGGAGTCTAAAACCAGAATTTCTTGGTCCAAATTATAATTACTACAGCACAAATTACTGCACATTACAACTATACAGACAATAGTATAACTTATACTATTGATAATTTCTCTTAAAGATGGGAAAATTGAATACAGGCACCATAAAAATGACCAAATGGCTTGCTGCTACATATAAAACCATATTTAAATTGCCACCGAGCTCATCTACTGAATTGCTTTAGATTGGAAGGTTAGACATGCTTAATCCTTCTTCTATCCACTGCTTTTGCACAGGAAGTCTTGCATCCCTTTCAAGACACTGGTTTCTAGATGTATATTTATCCTATCACACTCATGTCACAAGTCCTTACATTAGCTACCTCTTCTCTCCAAGGAAATGAGTGGCAGGGAGAAGACTCAACATGTTGATCAATTCTAGTATTTCCTCATGGGTTGCTCTTTTCTGACTCAATTCATTGTTCCTCTTCAATAGTCCCAAGTAGTCAGGCTACTGTCTGTAGCCAGAACTGATTGATCATTCAGAAACCTGGTCTTGCTTCAGGCTAGCTGTCTAACAGAACCAGTTTGCTGGGTTCCTGAGAAATGTTGCAGGAATTCAAGTTAGCATGTATTCTACTCCCTCCAGGTAAAGATGGGCCAACATATTTAGGGTAGCCTTTCCCCTAGACTATTTTAGACATACAATTGAAACATCACCACCCCACACAAACACATACACATACCACCAACTTTAAGACTGAGAGTGCACCTACACTGTAGAATTAATGCACATGGGAATTGTAGTTTTATAAGGCTTTTAGCCTTCTCTGGCAAACAGTGCTGGTGACTCTCCAAACTACAACTCCCAGAATTCCACAGCATTGAACCATGACAGTTAACATGCTGTCAAACTGCATTAATTTAATAGTACAGATCCAACCTGAATAAGTGTTTCATTAACCTTTTAAGGCATTTGGGGAGGAGTATCCTCTCATTTGATTTAAAGTTCCCCCCTCCCCTAATGTTGTGTGATTTGGTTCCTTAAGGAGCCCTCTCGTATACTAAGGCAACACAAAAATTGTAGAAATTCTACCCAAAGCCTCAGAGAATTGAGGTGAGCATTACTCAAAGATATTGGGATTATAATCTTTGTGCTGGTATGCCAGAGTGAGAATTGTCGCAAGACAAATGTGGCGTAAAGAGTTTTAATTTTTTTTAAAAAAATGTGTGATCTTTTTTTGAACCTTCTCAAAGTATTGTTTCAGGTTAGCAATTCCAGTTTAGTGAAAAGAGATCCAGTTTTGTCCTCTGTTTCTTCAGTTATGATCTGTTTATACAGGTGCTGGCCTGTGTCATATAATTAGCCTCTGGTGAAACCTTTTTGAAAAAATCAGAAATGTCTGCTTCTAACCTGTAAAATGGTATACACTGATAATGCTGAACATAACAGGAACTGTATGCAGATACAACTGAGCATAAAGTGGCAGGAAGTGGTAACAAAAACCATCCAAGCAGTAATAGAAGCAGTTCCACTTATATACACACACTTTCGTGGTTGTCTCCACTTGTTATGGTTAAAATATGGGGGAGACAGGTATCGGGGAAGGTATATTGTAGCAGAACACAAAGAGATGGGGAAACTTAGCTGATAAGAGAGTCAGCCCCATACAAGGATAGTGGAAGGTAGTGGTGCAAGTCAGACAAGTTACAAATGTGTGTTATTCTTGCAGTCCTAAAGCTACTTACAAGGGAATAATTCCCATTGAGTACCATGAGATTCACACTCAGAGAATTGCACTTCTCCAAAAAAGCAAATAACTTTGTATCTACTTCTGTAAAAAGAACATTAAGTTCTCCAACTTTGCTATTAAATGAGATTTTAGAAAAAACATTAACTAAATTTCAATGAAATGAACTCAGCTCTTGAGCTTTTACACAATTAGCCTTCTTTATGTGCACCCCTTCAAGTTGCCTATCAATTTATGGTAAACCCACACATTTCATAGGGGTTTCTTAGGCAATAAATACTTTTAAGGTTTTTCTGCCAGTTTCAGCCCATTGCTTTAAGAGAAGAATACTATATCACATAGGCCCTTTCCACACTGCCCCTATATCCCAGGATCTTATCCCAGGTTATCTTTTTATCCCACATAGCTGGCAGTGAAGACTTATATAATCCAATTTAAAACAAATAATCTTGGATCAGATCCTAGTGTATAGGGCAGTGTAAAAGAGGACTTAGGCCCCTTCCACACAGCTGAATAAAATCCCACATCTTCTGCATTGAACTGGAATATATGGCAATATAGACTCACATAATTCAGTTCAAAGCAAATATTGTGGGATTTTCTGCCTTGATATTCTGGCATATATGGCTATGTAGAAGGGCTCATAGTTTTCAATCATACTTGTGGATATTTATCCAAACTTATTTGATATATGTCAGAGGGAGATGGTGAAAAGATTGGAAATTAGAGGAAAGGTCATAGCACTTGCCCTTCCAAATAGATAGATAGATAGATAGATAGATAGATAGATAGATAGATAGATAGATAGATAGATAGAAACAGACATACACATACAGAAATGGAAGGGCCAGTGCTTAAAGGCCTTCTTTTCCTTTCTAAACTCCAAATGAGAATATATAATGGAAAAGATCTTTTGCTTAAATTTGTAGGTATACCAGAAGGTATGAATATAGTAGAAATTAAAAAACATTAAACTATCCAATTCTGGAATTACTTGATTTACTCGTTTTACATTCCTATGTCCTGTCCCATGAAACCATACCAACATCTGGACCAATCTGTGTTCTAGCAATATTTCATCCATCTTAGAAGATCTATAGTCTCTCTCTCTCATTCTTTCCGTCTTGCTCTCTTACTCTTTATATATGTAGTGTTTGTAAGAGATACCCTAAACTTCATTTATAGAATCTTGTCAAATATCTATATCATTAGCAGCACTAAAACAAGATAAATAATATATGTGATCAATTGTTACATTTTCTGTTCCATTGGTAAATATTATGGGCAAGAAATTTGCTGCATGTTTTTGTTTTTTGCACACCATCTCTCCAGGATAAATACATGTTTTAGTAATAGTTGTATTTTAACAAAATTACTACAGTATCTCTTAGCAGTCATCTGTATGATGTGTCTCGGAACTGTAAGTACTTTGGATATTGAAGTGTTGTGTTTGTTTCCTGTTCCATGAATAATGTACCACTGATTGGAACTAAATATATGTTTAGTTAAAATGGTTGAGATTTAGAGGACCATGGAAGCTTCTAAAATACATTAAAATCTCAGAGAGCTTCATTTTTTGTTGTTTCTTTGAATACGGGGGTGGGAGGGAGGGCTGTTCCAGAAAAGTGATAAAAAGATTCCTTTGGATTAAAACAAGCCTAAAGTTGAAATCAGATTGAACATGCCAGATTCAAAATATAGTATAGTATGCTGGATTTGTTAAATAGTGTGTGGCAACATATTCAAATAACCAACAAATACCTGTAGAGAACTGTGAAAATACATGCATCTTCATATAAATGTTTGCAGTTTTTACCATGAATCTCAAAATGATTATCTTTTATTTCCTTCACAGATCAAATTATGACATCATCATCCAAAGGGATTTTCCGGCCATTCCTGTTTATCTTTATTGTTCTGGGCTTCTTTATGACATGCCTGCTTATTTATATCAAGCCGACAAACAGCTGGATCTCCAGCCCCATCGAATCAGCAAGCTCAGTTCTGAAAATGAAGAACTTCTTCTCTACCAAAAGTGATTATGTCAACGAGACGACTATTCTGATATGGGTGTGGCCATTTGGCCAGACATTTGACCTGAAATTTTGCCCAACATTCAACATACATGGATGTCATCTCACTACTGACCGCACACTGTATAACCGCTCCCATGCCGTCCTCATTCACCACAGAGACATCAGTTGGGATCTGACTAACTTACCTCAGCAACCGAGGCCGTCATTTCAGAAATGGATCTGGATGAACTTGGAATCGCCAACACACACTCCACAGAAGACTGGGATTGAACATCTTTTCAATCTGACCCTCACTTACCGCCGTGATTCAGATATTCAAGTGCCTTATGGCTTCATGATGGTCAACACAAACTCCTTTTTGTTTGAAATGCCAAATAAAGAAAGGCTAGTTTGTTGGGTAGTGAGTAACTGGAACCCTGAACATGCAAGGGTCAAATATTACAATGAACTAAGTAAATACCTTGAAATACATACCTATGGGCAAGCATTTGGCGACTATGTGAGTGACAAAAATTTGATCCCGACTATTTCCACTTGCAAATTTTACCTTTCCTTTGAGAATTCTATACACAAAGACTATATCACGGAGAAACTTTACAATGCCTTTCTGGCAGGATCTGTGCCAGTTGTTCTTGGCCCTCCTAGAGAAAACTATGAGAACTACATCCCAGCTAGTTCTTTCATACATGTGGAGGATTTTCTCTCCCCGAGGGACCTTTCAGAGTATCTTTTGATGCTTGACAAAAATGACAAACTGTATATTAGCTACTTCAACTGGAGGAAAGATTTTTCAGTGCGCCTTCCTCGATTCTGGGAATCACATGCATGCCTTGCGTGCGACCATGTAAAAAGACACCAGGAATACAAATCTGTTGGTAATTTAGAAAAGTGGTTTTGGAATTAAACTTTTGAACCTTTTGCACTTTATACTTAAAAAGCAAGAAAAACAATTATTTGAAGATGGAGAAAAACTTCATCAGTCAAGGGGATCACTGTTTTTCTTGTCCATTCTTGGGTACAGCATATTCCGTTTAGACTATTGTTCCTAAATACGGATGATTAAATTCAGACCCTAACCTAGAACCTTTCTCTAGAAAGTAGGAAGGTATCTGATTATTTAGATATGCCTTTGAAAAGAAACTAAGAACGGGCAACCTGAGAGAGATTTTGATGGCATTGTGGAAGCAACTGCCCAACATGAAAATCTAGAAGTAGCAAATCTTGCAGGGGTGGAAAACCCAATCAGAAACTCAAATGGAAGCTTTTTGGAGATCCATACATGTGTCTGGCACAAAATGGATGCACAAATTATTTTTTTCTGAGCCACTGGCATGGGACCTTATTTATTTTATTGGAAATCCTGCTATGTATATAGCTGGTTATATGCACTGAAGAGTAATGTTATTGTTTACCATTCTTTTAAAAAAATATCCCATTTTTAAACAAAGCAGTCACTGGCCAATATATGTAGTGATGATGTTTACATTGGCTCAGATCATTTCCTCTAGGAGTGAGGGAAGATGATAAAAATAATGATTTTTTGCAGTGTAGAGGTTCATGGTAGACTTGTGGATTTGAGCTTGTGGAACTAGATTTTTTTAAACAAAAAAACTCTTAGTCATCCTCTATACAAATATTTTTAAAGCAAAACCCCTCAGAAAAACTTGGATTTTCCTCTACTTAAGCTTAATGTCTACTAAGGTTTACAAAATTTCCATATTTAGATATATGTCCTAAAGTGCTTTTTTCTTACTTTCTTTGTAATTTAAGATTTCAGAAAGCTTTAGATTAAAGTTTATTTCAGTTTGGGTCAAAGAAACATGCCAGGTCAGACTATTTATCCATTCTAGTCCAATGATTCTCCCAAGTTTTAAGCAGAGATCAGGTGCTCCAGTCTGGTTCTGCTTAGCTGTCGACACTCACAAATGGTCCCAATATATTCAAGACACAAATTATGTGATCTATAGCTCAATCAAGTTCCCTCCCATAATAGTAATCATAATGGTCTTATCTAAAATAGAATGGGAAGACATATTTGATGGTCAGTGAATCAGTCTAAACTTTCTAAGCCGAAGACACAAATGGGTTTTTTATGTCTTGTTTTACGATGGATGTGAAGCCCTTTATCCTAGAGTTTTTGAGGCACAGTGAAAGACTGCAGCCTCTTCACCAAGTATAACATAACTGCTGACAGAACTGCTCACCTGTTTGAAATGGAGAAGAGGCAGTAAGCCAGTGACCAGATGATTACCAGCACCATCAATATCATGATTTGTTCGACACTGTGAATACAGTTTGGGAGCTGGTGCTGGATATAATTCCCTCTGTGCTCCCAGCATTGTTGATCTGTGAACAGAGACCTATTTCTAATTGTGATTGTTTTCACTGGGTAGTAAAACATTTTAATTCTATTTCAATGACATTTGTAAATATACCATATTGTCCAGAATGTCTAGTAGACGACTGACTTGGAAGATACTGAAAATCAAGAAATATTTTTTCCAAGTATAGAATAGTACTACTCTGAAGATAAATGAGGGTGACTTCAGTGCATTGAGATACTGCTATATAACTCCAGGGTGTATATTTTTGAAATGAATATGGGAAGATGCAACCATTTTTTTTAATTTTAGAGGATTATTCCACTGACTTAGCACTTTGTGGATTGATCTGCTCCTGTCCATTTGTGAATGTATTAATTGAAGTTTTGCTTGGAATCACATAAATGCAACAGAAAACAATGGCTTGTTTAGGTAGTGTGGATGGTTTGCCAGAAGAAGTATGTACTCCAAGTTCTCCGATTTCAACAGGGAATGCTGTGCTGCTTTCTTCAAAGTATATTATTGAATAAACAAAACCTAGAGGTATTAGAAGGCAGCAGTTTCCCATAAATATAGTTAACTCTAAATTCAGTAATTGAAGAGACAAAATGTCTATGGATAAGAAATGAAAGGGTAAAGAATTAAATGTACTTTGAAGTGTGTTGCTTTGATACTATTTATTGTGCTGCTCCAGTGAAGCACTACATCTTTCAAAATTGTTGTGGATCCTTGCAGCTAATGATATTTAACTGTGATACACACACTAAGTTTCAAAAGGTACAAAACTAGTCTAGTTTTGTTTACAAAACTCTCAAAACTCAAATTAAGCATTTACCTCAGATTTCTCTGCAGTATTTGAGTTTTGCAGTTGCTCATTTCTAATTCTGTCAAAATCAGTTCAAGTGTCCCCTGTCACGAGATTAGCAGACTCATGGAAGCATCTCTGAGGACATGGCTACTTGCTTCGCTCACCACTGTGTCTTTGTTTCCACTACCAGTATCCATAAACTCAATAGACACAAACCTACATATCTGTTTCTCATGTGATCTAGAATCCTATGTGTTTAATATCAACATTATGGGCAAAGATTGTTCATGAAAGCACAGTTCTTAACCACATGAAGGACAATCGGTCCATCTGCAGTGACCCCTTCTCTCAAAATGAAGGCGAATCAGCTTTGTGGCAGTTGCATATTGCACAGAGCCAATCCGAGTCACTAAACCCTTGAATCACATTAACAAAAGTCATTTTTGCTCCAAATTCCCCTTGAGAATCCAGAGCAAACCACAACTTTCACTCTGTGTATGGTGGAGCAATACACAGCTGTTTACATGGTGACCCTTCCCATTTTCATAGTCACAAAGGGCATAACATCACGAGTAGCCATCACTTGTCACCTGAAGCGATGCTAATCAGAGCAACAAGGTGATCAGAGAAGAAGTGGGGGAAGAGGGTAAATTCCTCCTCTTTCTGCTGCCATGCCACTTCGACACCTTCATCCATGTCACTTCAGATGATGAGCCAGACAGTTAGGACTCCCAGCAGCCAAGGAGTTCACATCAAAACCATCCTGGTACTAATTCAGCATTTGTTATTCTGGGATAGCCATGGGATAAAGGGTCCATGTAGAACTGCCTAATATTCACATTGGCCTGACATATTAACCCAATGGGCACTGTGATCAGTTTATTCCACTGTATTTGTTACATTTTCATTTATTATCCACCAGCAGATGTAAATCTATATTTACTGTTCTGATACCATATCGCTTATGGCAACAAGCATATCATATTAAATGAAGATGTAGTCATGTTTAGAGTAAATCCATTTTTTTTTCCTATGGGAATATTACTCAAAAATAACCTACGCCCCATTGACCAATTATGACCAAGTCCGGATTCAACCTGATAGTTATGTTTTCAAAATGTTAATATACAAGTTAACCTTTGCTGTTTGGAATATAATTATTCATAGCCATTCATAGCACAGAGTCACCGTAGATTTGCAATGTAACTCTGTGGTAATTGTAAATGAACAATGTTCCTTTGTACCAGAACTTTGGACATTGCATGTTCCATTAAGCATCTAGGCAAATGGATCTTCATGCATTAGAGTTTTTTTCTGTTCTTCTCAGATCAGACATCTTCTTAATACAGTAATTGTTTATTGAGAGAAGTGTCATACAACCTGTGTACTACTTACAATAGAAGAAAGCTATTGGTATGCACTTCCTTGAATGAGAAACCATTCCTTTTGTGAGCGCTCTCATGTACAGTGTGGTGCACATAAAATACTGGTTCAGAGCAGTAGCCTCTGAAGTATAAAATCAGAAGATGAAACTGACATTTCCATTTTTAAATGATTTGATTTCCCCCCCCCCCATTCCTGAACATTTGTGTCACAGTTACAGGTATTGCAACCTTTAAAAATGTATTTCTTGCAGGAAACTGTGAATCCCCTCTTTTCACCAGCATTTGCATTATGAAACTAAAAGGGAAAACTGATATGCTACAATAAAACAGTTTTTTAAAAAAACTAAATTGAGTAATATAACTTGAATCTAATGGTGTCTGTTACAAGCAGAGTAGACTTTTGCTTGTAGTGGGATATGGGGAGGAAAAGGAGATACATTATCTTCAATGTTTCTCTCCAGTGGGACCCCCCTGTGCCATAATCCATACATTCTTACACCTCTCCAAGCTCCCAGATTGACTTGAAGGGCATTTTGCGTTGCTATGCTATGCTAGAAAGGGAAGGCAGAAAAGCCCACATCTGTGTTGTGGATTCAGTTCATAGGACCCAAACTTCTTTATTTATATTATATAATCATACATTGTATTTTTCTTTGTATTTTTGGTCAAAGCAATATGCCACAAATCATAATGAAGGTTGTATTTCCAGAACTCTTTTTGTGCCATGTTAATGAAATCTAAAAGAGCATACAATGTCAAAGTAATTTTGAATTGGAGTTCTTCTCACTTGAGTCATAGTATAGTTCCTGCATGTTTCACAGTAGTGACTGCTTCTGTCCCTTAAATATTTTCCCAGGTGGTATTCCTTCCTTCTTTTAAATATTAAATCAGATTTAAATTGTATAATTGCGTTTACATCCTAGCTTTTGGATGCACCTTGGCAGAAACAACTGTGAAACAAAAAAGTTCAAGTTTCTTTGCTACAAGTAATCACATAGCTTTGGTCCAGCAAAAACGTCATATTGTGGCCTTTTGTGGGTTACGTCAAACATGGCTCTCCTGTGCTAATTGCAGTGGTCTTCTGATCCTTAAGGTGATTTGATATATTCCTGATGGAATTTCTGATTTTTCATACCAAAAAAAATAGTTTTTTCTCAGCCTAAATACCCTAAAGGTATCAGAGGTCATCTGATATTTGAAGCTAAGCTCTAGTCAGTACTTGGATGGTAGATTGCCTTTGAATTTCAGGTGCTGAAGGCTAAGTTTCAAAGGAAGGAACTAGTAAAACTGTCTCTGAATATCCGTTGTCTAAAATCACTGGATTGCCTTAAATTGACCCCATGATGTCTTGGATCCCACACTGAGAGAAAGTTCAGATGTACATTAAATAAGCCATCAGGTGGCTTGTGTGCACCTGCACACAAAAAAGTCAAGTTAAGTACAAATTAAATCAGAGGAAAGTGAGAAATTGATCTTCTTGTCATGAGTGTAGTCTTGTTTGGATAGGGAGCAGTTGTTTGTTTTCTTGTTTGGTTCATTGTTTGCCTAGGAGAATGGAACCAAAGCAGAGCAGATGTGTTAATCTCTACAATTAGTTTCACCAAGAAATGTTTCTGGAAAATGCATTGAAATTATGTGCAGTATATCATGACCAAAAAATGTCCACCAGTATATTTAGTAAAATTATCTGGAGACTCCAATACATCTCTGTCATAGCTATGCTAACGTTTTGGTATAATTGTTGCTGAAACACTGACACAAAACTGAACATGAAAATAATTGTTATAGGAGCTCTCCACCTGATCCACTGGTTACTTGTATGAGACCAGACACCCATTGCATTGCAGCATTGTGCATCTCTGTACCTTTGAAATTGGATACAGACTATTTTTTAAAAAAAAAAATCTAATTCCAAATGGATCACGTTAAAGGGGCAGAAGTACATTTTAAGTTTGTGGGTGTTTGCATTACATAGTTATATAGCTCTTCACACTTACAGAGTTGGAAAAAACAGCATGACAAGTTAGGTTACCTCTATAGAAAGAAAATAGGTCCTTAATAATTCTGAGTTGCACATCAGTGCCACTATATACAATTGTAGCAATTATGAAGTATCACAAGAAATAGAAATCATGCTTTGATTTGCTTTTAAATGTTATGATTTTATGGCAGAAAGGATTAAAGAGACCAGATTTTG